GGTCGGGGTCGGGGCTAGGGACGGGGCCGGGGCCGGGGCGCCTCCTCGCTCCGTGCCGAGGGGCCTGCGGCCCGGAGCGGTGCCGCAGCCCCCATTACAGAAATATGGATCGTCTCAGGCAATTGGGCTGGAGACTTTCATTCCCCCCACCTTCTCTTTTTCTCTTTTCGCTGCGGTAGGAGAGGGGAGGGTTTCCTTTTTTCTTTTATTTTTTTTTCTTCTTCCCCCCCCCTTCTATTATTATATTTTTTTAACTTGCTGTTTAGAGGCGCTGCAGGCTTTATCCCCGTACGGTTTTCTTTCTTTCTTTCTTTCTTTTTTTTCTTTTTTTTCTTCTTCTTCTTTTTTTTTTTTTTACTTTCAGTGTGTTTTGTGCTAATGGTTTAACTGGATTTTAGGAATGAAAAGGAGCATCTGTTTGCGATCTGTGAGCTTCGCTTAAGCCCAAGATGGTTGTGGTGGCCGCAGTTTCAGATTTCACTTTCTTCTTAATAGTTAAAAGGAGCATTTGCAATTGCATGTGTGTGTATTATATGCATAAACTTTATAAATAAAACCATAAACTATATAAATAAACTGCACGTCTAGATGGCTATGTAGTTTTATACACATACACACACAGTCAGACACGTATCTAGTCCCATACACACAAAGACCTGTACCCGGAATTTAAGACTGGAGCCGCCGTCGGTATCCTAGGAAGGGACGACAATGACAGAAAATCTGCTTGCTTTCTGTTTGTAAAATCAGATGCATAAATTGTTGCGCAGTCTTTATTCGGAGTGGTATAAAAGATCTGAGGATATCTTTGCTTGTCTTTCCTGTTAAGAAGAAATAAGCGAGTAGCTGGAAGTTGCAGTGAGGCTGTGAACTAACTCGAATATTAGGTGAATTTGTTCCCGTGACTCGCCAGTCTGAAGGATTCTGAATCGCGCTCAAAGTTAGCGAGTTCCTTAGCAATATCGTTGACTTTTCTTGCATTATGCAGACTTAAATAAGCGCAATTTAAACGTTAAAGGGCGAATTAAAATGCTAATTACATCGCATTTGAACAATTCGAAACGGTGCATATCTTCTGATTTGCAAATTGGATTTGCAATGCATTAGTGCAGTGAATTGCTAAGTGGTGGCTTTGTTGTATTTTCTATAGCAAAAAAAGGAAACATCTTTTGAACCTTTGAGAGAAATGTAGATATCAAGACACTACCTGTAGGGCCTTTAAAATGTCGGTGTGGTTCAAAAATGGTATTGGGAAATATTCAATTACAAAGAGCTGAAATTAGTCAGAAAGATTAAAACACCGACGACTGTAAGTGTGTGTGTCTGTGTGTCTGTGTGCGTTTGTATTGGGCGGAGGAAGGGAGATCATAACTTAATGGCCTTTGGGTGCTGTCGTGCCCCCCGCCCCGTGTCCCCCCCCCT